ACTCAGCTTGGTTTTGGTGACACTCCTGGGGAACTTGTCTGTATTGCTGACTCTTTGAAAGTTTGGATGGCGTAGAATCAATCATTTCATTATATTGGTAGTATATTCAAGTGTGATCAGCAAACAGTGGATTCAAACCTAGAAATTCTAAATGTGGAAAGAGTGTCTGCTTTTTTGAGATGCCATATGTTGTGTTGAGGCTTCAGCAAGTTTGACTCTTAGGTTGAATACGAATTGTATCAGTTAGCTTCTGTTTGGTTACATGTAACAGGAACAGATCTTCTTTCCCCCACCTATCCTTACCCCTAGCCTCTGCCTCTGCACAATGACTTAAGGAAGTTAGAGGTGTTTCTCCCCCCACCTCCCATAAAATCAGAAATCTAAAGATAGGCTCTCCCAAACTCTGTGCTGCTCTCAGAAGCCCATGCATCCCTGGATTCATCCTGTGAACCCTGACCAAGTACCTTCCACCCTCTGTATACCTCTTGCTAGATAAGCTGTGTTCTGGGTGAAAGGAGGAACAGAAAACGGCAAGAGTTGTGCACTGGTGCAGGTGCCTCCTTCATAGAGGCTTCCTAAAACGGCACCTGGAAACTTGTGCCGACATCATACAACTATGTCACACGGTTATATCGAGGCTTACGAGAGATTTTTTTTTTTAAGATTTATTTATTTATGCATACAGAACTGAGGTACAGGCAAGAGGTGCAGGGGCAGCGAAAGGCTTCACCAGAGAGAGTGGGGAGCAGAACGGCAGATCAACAAAGTACACTGCTGAGGGGAGCAGCAGACAAGACAGGAGAGGTCTTCCGTGCCATGTGGGTCACCTCTGGAGTCTGGGATCAAACTCGCACTGAACTGGCTGCTGATAGCTTGCAGTGCTGTGATTTAACCCTTTGCGCCACCAGGGAGGGGCCCCTAGGTTTAAGAGAGACTGGGAAGTGTAATATTTTCACTAGACACACATTATTAACCAGGCAGAATCCAGGGTAGCGAGAGTAGGGAGAAATTATTATCAAGGCAATAAAGTCTCACTTATCAATATTTTATTTAGTGTTTGTGGTAAAGGCTGATCTTACTACTCTACAACATCAGTGTATGTGGTCCTGTGGAAAGGTGAATTAACTTTGTTTGGGATCTGTATAAAAGCTTCCTTACATTTTGTGACTGAATATGAGTTGAACACAAATGACATACCAGGAACTATTCCAAGTCCAGAGAATGAGTCTATGACAAGTTTGCTGCTCTGTGTAAATGCAAAATTACCTATCTTCTGGTATAAGAATGTAGTTTTTGGGAGGGGGGAAAAGCTGGTATAATGAGTTCATTCTTGGAGCAAATATTTATTAAGCACCTTTTATGCACAGGACATTCTGCTGAGCAGTCTGGGTAGAAACCAAAACTTAACTAACCAGACATAAATCTAGCCATTTCCAGTGTTGTGCTGTCCAGAAAGGGAGACAAGTATATTTATAAGTGGCTGTAATACAATGTAGAATGTGCTAAACCTGATAAAACACATATAAATAAATTTTTATAAGCATTCAGAAGAGGGAAAGATTATTTCTATCAGGGAGAATTGAGTAAATATGGCCTGACCTGGGGAAACGAAACACGTGTTTCATTTTAAGAGTTCGCTTTTGCAGCTACTGCACATCATCTAAGACTAGAAAAGTATTTTGAAAAATATGGAACCAGTGTCCATTCACAAATCATTGCAGGTGGGCACACTTGCTTGGCATCTGTCCTTTGTTTCCTCACTTTGGTGAAGTTTGGAACGAATGAGCATTTGTTAGATGTCTGCCATGTGCCTAGTATTTTGATGTGTTAGAAGAAACCTTGATTGACGGCCTGTGTAGGTTTGCTCATGTGATCTTTATTCCTTCCCCAACAACCCAGCAAAGCAATTGCAATGGCTTGTGAGGAAGCTATAGCTCAGAGAGCTTGAGTAATGTGCAAAGGTCGCCACTGAGAAAGTGACAGGCCTGCTTTTGGGTCCACGCACATTTGACTTCATACCATGTCTTTCTACTCACCTGAGTCTCGGCCTTTCACTGATGATCCATTTCTGCTCTGTAGCCATAAGTGTTGAGCCATCCACTCCTCCTTCAGCCTGTGTGATGGCGAGTCCTGTACCAGGTGGTTGAAACTTTGGGCTTGAATACTCCGCCTCAGAGTTGTTACCTGCTTAAATCTTTTTTTTTTTTTTAAGATTTATTTATTGATGCATACAGAACTGGGGTACAGGCCAGAGGTGCAGGTGCAGCGAGAGGATTCACCAGAGACAGAGCAGGGAGCAGAACAGGCAGATTGACGAAGTACACAGCTGAGAGGAGCGACAGGCGAGTCAGGAGAGGTCTGCTGTGCCATGTGGGCCACCTCCCTGGCGTGGATCGAACTCATGCTGCAGTGACTGCAGAGAGCTTCATAGTGCTGTGCTTTAACTGACTGTGCCACCCGACAGGGCCCTACCCCTTAAATCGTATTAGAACTTGACTTCCTTTTGATTTTTCAGTATTTCTTTTTAATAAAGAACTATTGAATACATCTAAGTGGTAAAAATTCAAATGGGTACAGATAATACTTAGTTAAAAATGAGTTTCCATCCCCCTAACTCTGGCTTACCAGTCCTTTTCCATGATGGTTGCCACTTTTTTGTATATCTTGTCAGAATTTTTCTGTGCAATATTAATATTAAATGGGTGCAAGGGAGGGAGTATCTATATCCTGCCTGCTTTCTCCCTTCCAATTGAGTCTCTTGCAGAGTTTGAGGTCCTCGGACATGGAGCCAGTCAGTAAGAAAGAGACTGAGAGGAGTAAGTTTATTCTGGAGCCAGGCTCCCAAGCTGGCCTCTTGCTCTCCCCTTTGGTTGTTTGCCTGTAAAGGCTTGCTGGAGCAGTCAGGGCTCCTGGACCTTCTTGGGCCGTCTGAAGACCTCCCCACATGTACACTGCAAGAGCCACCATGGGGCTTTGCCGATGGCCTTTGGCCTTCCTTGGTTCCCCTTCTTTGGACCAGAGATGGAGGCAAGGAACAGCTCTCCAGTTCTTCCTTAGGTGGTTTGTGGAAGTGAGGGCCATGTCAGTCAGGTCGGTCCATATGAAAATGCTCACATCCTCTCCCCCTTACAATACAAGCGTCTCAGTCAACATGTGTACTCCACCTAAGACCCATTGACGCCTCTCATGTCTGCTAGCCCAGGACCTTTGGGCACATTTCAAGGCAGCAGTATAGAAAGGTTGATTAACATTTTATTAGAGCTACCCAGTTCGTCTTGTATAGCTTAAAAAATAAAATTCATGAAGGACAAAAATAATACAAGTAAAGTCTATCTAGAAGGTGGACATTTCCTAAAAGCACCTGATCCAGGAACTCCCTAGTGGCTTCGGGGTTAAATCTCAGAGCTAGCACCTCTGAGGCCTGAGTTCGATCCCCAGCAAGGGAGGTGCAGCAGACCTCTCCTCTCTCACCCACTGCTCCTCTCAGCAGTGTATTTCAGTAGATCCACCTGTTCTGCACTCCACTCTGTCTCTGGTGAATACTTTCCCCCTCTGCACCACCTCCATCCCAGGCTACATCCCAGTTCCATGAAAAAAAAAAAAAAAAAGAGCATCTGACCATCTGACCTTATTCCTTAGACTTTCGACTTTCCTATGAGAAAGGGACATTTCCCCCTTTGTCTCCTTTAAATAGTACAGATAGAAATCAGTTGCCAAAAATCCTTTAAACAGTCTACATTTTAATTATATTCTTTTCTCTCTCTCTTTTTTTTTCTTTTTAAAGATTTATTTACTTATGCATATAGAACTGGGGTACAGGCCAGAGGTGCAGGGGCAGTGAGAAGATTCACCAGAGACAGAGCAGAACAGGCAGATCGCCAAAGTATACTGCTGAGGGGAGCAGCGGGATGGGTCAGGAGAGGTCTGCCACACCATGTGGATCACCTCCGGGGCTGAGGCTTGAACTCTGCACTAAAGTGGCTACAGCTCACTTGCAGTGCTGCATCCTATCCCTTTGCGCCACCAGGGAGGGCCCATATTCTTTTTCTCTTAATAATATTTCACATTGAAAGCTTTCCAATGCATGCATATTGAAAGTAGTATTGACAGTGTTAATGGACTAGTAACAAAATTGCACTCCAAAAGCATTTGTAATGAGGTAAATGAGTTGTAAGAATTTTTCAAGCATCTCCTTGAAGGTGTACGTTTACCTACTAACTGCAAATATATATTAGTGTTTAGATGGTGGTTTTGTCTATCTTTATTTGTAGGTTTAACCTCTAAGCAAAACCACTCTGTTGATCTTGCATTCCTACAGTAACTTGCAGTCATGTAGCAATTTTACTTTGAAAGCATTTTCAAATGTAAAATCTTGTGTTAATAATTAGGTCAACAAGGTGTTACTATGCCAGAATTCTACAAATAGCCCTCCAGGCTATGCTTGGTCAGGCTCCGGGTTTCTGTTCCAGGCTCCTCTCCCTGCTCTGGCTCATGGCGCGTTAGCCACGCTGGCTCTTCCTCCCAATGTGCAAATCCTCCAGAGGAGTGTTGTCCTGTGAGTGAGTTAAAACTGAGTGAAGCTTCAAGGGAGTCCCCTTAGTCTGTACTACCTCTCTAGTACTTGACATCCATTCATTAAATAGTTGACATTCATTCATTTAATAGTTATTAAATATTTGTTGAATTTAACAAGGGAGGAAATGCAGGCTAAGCCCAGGTGCTTTTCTGACTCTCCTGTGGACCAGTATCGGCAACCAGGTATCCCACTTCCTCACCCAGGCTGCTTTCCACAAGGTCACGTCAATGTTTTAAGAGATTGCCCTTGGCCCTTGTCTGAAGCCAGACTGTCACAGCCGTTATTAAGAAGTCTTTCCTTAGACATTATTTCCGTAGTCTCCCTTTTCTTTTTGTCCCTTCCAGGATCACAAACCAGTCATTTGCTTATAGCACATGGTTGTGAAGGACATCGCCATCAATCTTTTTTCTTCTTCTTCTTACAGGCAATCTTTGGCAGCCAGACACTACCTAACTCCAACTTATGGACAGTTCATAATGGTGCAGCCTGCAGAATTTCAAGCGCTGTAGCCAGTGGCCAGAAGTCAACCAGTCTTCCACAAAAAGTGGTCCCGCCTCCAAGTTCTTCCTCCCTGGTCCCTAAGCCCCCGAAACAAGTCCTCCGAAAGGCAACATCCCAGAGGGCTTCTAAGTAAGTTTTCACTCACCTTCTGTTCACTTTCTTCTGGCTATTCTGATTCTATACAGAATTCTATGTCAAATACTGTAATTCTCTATTAATTCTGTGCACGCTGTACTTATGGCATCTTCAAGACAGTTGTACTGAAAATAAGAACACCTAATGGGAAATAAAGGCTAACTGCTTCTCAGCCCTAGCTGCAAATCTAGTCCCCTAGTGAGTGATTAAAAGGTGCAGGAATCTGAGCTCTGCCCAGCGAGCAGGGCAGCCCTGTTCTCTAGGTCCCCAGGATTTTGATAAAAGTCACTACCTGTAGGTCATTGCTAACTCTGCTGGCCTCTGGCAGGAGCAACCGACAGACTGCACCAGGCAAACTGGGCTTGGAGAAAGGAAATGAAAACTTCCTCCCGGATGTATCTTCTCTTGGTCATTCTCCAGAGTCAGAGCTTTTCAGTTTCATATTATATTTTTCACCCTTCCCTCCCACCCTGTTTGTTTGTTCACTATTAGGACCCTGAATGGGGCAACGTAGGATTAGGATTTCACTGAGGGGGGTGGGGGCGGAATTAACATCACTAGTCAGTAGGCGCTGTGGCACGGTGTTTCTCATACCTTTTGTGTTCTTTTTATTCTACCTCAAAAAGACATTTCCATGCCTGAATCAAATTTCATTCCACATCCACCCATTTTCTAGCCAGTGAACCAGAAATAGACCGATAAAGGGGCTTAGTTGATTCTAGCAGCACATTTAATATTGGGGAACCTTTCTAAAATGTCTAGAAAAGGAGGGTATTTCCCTGATGTATACACATCTAGAGGAGATTTATGTTCTCATTCAGGCCTCTTACTCATTCGTCCTTTACAAAGTTAGTTTTAGTGTTAAGAATCCTAGGATACCGGTAAAGCAATGACTGTTTTTCCCTCTTGGACAGTAAATCAGTTTTGGAATCTGGATGGCAAACAGTCGTGGCTGTTTAGTTATAATGTTACCATCACTGATTGATCCAACATTTATTCCACGCCTACTAAGTACCAACCAGTGTTCTAGGAATGGTTGGCGATGTAATGGCTTTAGAACTCTCCGAAACGGTAGGAAAGGCCAGTAGCCCAATAGAATCGAGACTGTATGGCCCTCATCTAGAAGGAGCCGAGACGAATCCCACAGTCCCTGTGAGCCAGACTTCCTGCACTCATATCCGCACACCTTACTAACCTAAGACCTTTGGCGAGTTAGAAGTTACTTTTTCTCTTGACCTCAGTTATCTCATTTGTGATAATAAGAATATTATCTTCACAGAAAAGTTGCTAAATATGAGCAGAGCTAATACAGGTAAAGCACCTAGAACAAGACTAGCAATAGAACAATTCACTAAATCCTGTAGGGTCGCCGGCACAAGCATCCTCTAACCACATAACGCGTCACCAGTTTGAGAACACCACCATTAGGTGGGAAAGTTCATGAGTCAGATGTGAATGTTCAGTTGCCTCTGTGCTCCTTGTTTGTGGATTTTCCCACTATTACCAATACCCTGAGATGCTGGCTGGGCCCCTGACGGAGGGGCGGGCTCACTCAGCAAGTGGCAGGACTGGACACTGAAGACGCCGCTCACTGCCCTGAATTCGCGGCTGCCAGAACTCTCCAGCCCCTGAGATGAAATTGCAGCTCTGTGGACAAACTTTGCTTTGCTGCATTTTTGTGGTTTCTTCTCTCTAGCAGTCAGGAGTGTGGGAAAACCGGAAACAGCTCAGCACCAAAAATGCACAGAAGGGGGGAAAAGCAAGATTTCTTCAGAATTTAAGAAATATAATCCAAGTATCAAAAGGCATGCTATAAGGCGTTGTTCCAGGAAATAGTTTCCAATTTGCTTTTAAAACTCGAGCACAAGTCTCTGTAGCTAAATAAGTTAGCACTAGTGGAGACTTACTGTTCTCTCATTTACATGTAAAACGTACAGTAGTGTGAGGACATCCTGTTTTTAATATTCTTCTGACTTTTAGGAGAAAGAATAGCACTGTTTTGATCTGAACTGACCAATGAAAAGTTCCCGCTGTGAAGTATCCAGAAGGTTTCTATTTAATTTTTTTCTAGAAATTAATTTCAGACCTACAGGAAAAGGTTAAAGATAATAGCAAAGATCACTACCACAGTTATAAACATCTCCTGTTGCCATACTAAGACACTGCCATTACCATCTACAGATTATACATTAATATGAACTAAACTCCATATTTTGAGCTGATGAAGTTGTTCTTAAAGAGACCTTCCATGGTTCCTCAAATCAGATCCTGAGTATCAGTCAGTATCCTCTTTTTCTAAAGTCATTCTTATACATAACCAGCACAGCAAGTCCCTTAAAATTTATGTAGCTCAGGCTCAATGTTCTATTGAAAATAAGGGAGAAATAGTACCAGTCTCTGAGGGTTATTAAAAAAGAAATGAATTAATGACTCTCAACCAAGCACTAATACAGTTCCTGGCATGTAATATATGCTAAATAAGTGTTAGGTGTTTTCATGGCTAAAACTAAAATGGTATTTCAAGAAACTTTCATGTAAGTTTTTACTTTTGCTTGGATTTGCATATGTCCTTTCCTCTGGCTCAGTTCAGATTAATGAGGAACATTCAGTTAGGACTGGTGATACTGAGTCACACTGAGGAATGCCATTGTTGCCCCAAGAGACACAACTAATGAGAAGTTGTAATGAGCTTTCGACCATGCCAAGACCTGTGTTTTGGGGTTAACTTCAAACTTCTTCTAGCACAGAAGTTGGCTTTGGACAAATATAGAAACACTTTCCAAGAGCATCAAAGTTTCCACATCCTAGAGGGTTGACTTTAGAGAACAATAGAACATAAAAGATGGAATGTCGTTTAGATTTTGGTGCAAAGGGAGTTGAGACTCAGAACAGTGGGGTCCTATTTTTGTATGGTAATATTCAAGTCACTTTCCCTCTAAAGGGTTCATTTTCCCATCTGTAAAACAAAAACCACTGTCCCCGCTGAATAATTAACCAAAATTACTTGTTCTCTGTCTATTCCATTGAAAGCTTTTTTATGAGCACATTTGTTTTCTAATCCTGGTGCTCTACAGCCATTTTCCTCATCCCCTCTTGGACCAGCATTCTTTGTAATAGTTCTCAAAGTCATACACTTATATTTCCTTCAGCTAAATCTCATTTGTCAATTCTGGGAAGAGAATGATTTAGATTGTTTTTTGTTTTTTTGTTTTGTTTTGTTTTTACCTTCCCATAGTGCCAGTAGCCTTTCTTGATTTTTCCTTTCTAATGTCTGCAACACTTCATAATTTAATACCCGCTTCAGATCCTCCTTTCAAAACTATTTGTGGTATTTCTTCCAAGCAGTCAGCTGAACCAGGAGGAACAGCCTGTGAGCAGCTAGCGTGCATGGACTGTCTCTTTCTTGTAAGCGGTCTTTTCTTTTTCTTATTTTTCAGAGCCAGACTCACACTATCCAGGAAATACGCAGGGGGGTTGGGGGGAGGAACCTGAGAAGATTAAAGTTTGCTGGGTAAATGGGCAACATTCATAGACTAGAGATGAAATTGGAGGGCAGGGTCAGAGTTGTGGCACCTTGGGACTTCTCTGAAGAAAGGAAAGAAACTTAACTAAAGTGCCTTTCTCCAGATAGCTGGGAATCCTTTTCCTTATCCAGGTTCTAGGCTCTTCTGCATCAGGGTGACCTCAGTGAAACTGAGGGTAGCTGCTGTCTGTATCAGCACCCAGGACAGTGGTGTTTGTGAAAGGCTGTGAGGGATGAGGAGAGAGGAAAGAGATCAAGCTCAGCAGCATGGCAAAACCAAATAGCAATTGGTGTGACCTGAGCCTTTGGTGATGTCCACTAAATACGATAGGAAGTACTCAGAGATTAATGTCAAAAAACAATCTCGTTAATTATAAAACAAAGCCTGTATCTTTTTAATATTTGAGTCATTAAAGTGAGCCAGAGTGGTCAGAAGCTTTAACGGTCCAAAAATGAGTTCTTGATGTAGGTGTAAAAATGTCATATTGTAGGTTGGCCATCTTTTATCAGTCTTTTCCACCTTTTATTATGTGTAGTTTCAAGAACCTTAGTTAAATATGGATTTTCTAAGGTAAGCATTTTTTTTTTAAAGATTTATTTATTCATACAGAACTAGGGTACAGGCCAGAGATGCGGGGGGTGAGAGGATTCACCAGAGACAGAGTGGGGAGTAGAACAGGTAGATTGATGAAGTACACTGCTGAGGGGAGCAGCAGTCAGGAGAGGTCTGCCTCGCCATATGGATCTCCTCCGGGGCAGGTGGGGATCGAACTCATGCGGAAGTGGCTTAAGCTTCTTAGTGCAGTGCTTTAACCCGCTGCGCCACCAGAGAGGGCCAGTTAAGCATTTTTAAAATACTGAAGTGTCGAATTGTAGTGCTGGACCTTTGCAAGTAGGTAAGAAAAAAGATTACCAAGGGAATGGTTGTGAGGTAACTAATATAAAAAAAAACAATTTTTTCAAAGGAGGCACAGTGAGAGACTGAGTATCACGAGGTATACAGGTGGTGAGTGGCAGAGCTCAAACTGGAGTCTATATCTTCTGCTGTGCTCACCCTAGACACTTCCCTGTAGACCACTAATTTCAAAGACCCCTACAGTCCATTCAGATCTATCCTGAACAGCAGACGTTAGAGTAGTCCTCTTGAAATATCACCTTTGGGAACATGCAGTGTAAATACTTAGGAAGAGGTGAGGGCCCATCAAGAAGGCTGTCATTTAGACTCTAATGCCTCTACACTCCCTCCGCATTTAGACCTTAGTGGTGGTGTTTGGAGACCTTAAAATTTGCTGTTGGCATGGACAATGTTATATCAGTCAAAAAAACAGGTATTAATAACTACACCCAACCAAAAGTTGCCATTGGAGTGTGTTTGGTCTGGTGAGGGAGGAAGAATACAGAAGAGTCATGTAGTGATAGGTTTTATTTTGGTGATGCACATTTGCATATTTTAGTACTTCTTATCATTGCC